CAAAGTTCACTGTAAAGGTAAATATCACAAATCGGCGCTGCTTACAGCAGCGGTCTGAAGTAACGTGAGTGTATTCAGTGAGCTGCGAAGGGAGCGTACGCTAAACATAGCATTTTCATTGATTTAAATCATATTCATCCGCGTAATTTGTGATTTTCATTTATTGACAATTCTATAAGCCAACGCTACTTTAAAACTTTGAATGCGTTGTAATTTGTTGGATACTTGTAGCAAAATAAAAATATTTCTTTCTTTTAAATCGCTAGCTTTAAGCTGTTTTGAGAACTACTTGTTGTTAAGTTTGTCGTTAACCCGCTGTGTCAGAATGCCAGCTTTTTATTTCCTGAACTTCGATCAGAAAATACCAAAACCACTGATTCAATCCCGGCAGTAGCTATAAAATACAGAGATTTTACTGTGTTTAAATTTTCTAAATGAATTGATTAAAAAAGTAAGACTGAAAATAAATATTTAATTAAATTTATTTTTGTCATACACACAAAGATATAAAACAGACATATTAAGTCATGACATAATAAAGATTGATATTAGAAGAATGTATAAACTGATGCACATAGATCAGAAGCTTGTTTTACATTCATATATATAACTGTATAAAGCTAGACAGGGCTTTTATTTTAATCAATCATATGTTGTTACAATTGTGTATAATTATCATACAGCAAATAGATATGCAACAGAAGTATATGACATTTCTTGTTTGTATTCTTTATAAGACACTTGGAGCTGGAATATGATATATAAAAGTGATGGTAGTTTGGTAAGGTTGATTTCATTTTCTCTGTGAGCAAACTAAATCAAACTGAATCATACTCGGCTATATCATGAAACATATTTACAGCCCTTCTTTTCATTTAAGAAATGTAGATACAGTAAAACCTCTCTATCGCGGCTGCTGAAGGGAATGATTAAGAGTTTTTAACATTGATTTGGTCTTGATAGTGAATGGACCGCTTTATATTCACTTTTAACGTTGCCTTTGTACATAAAACATAGGAACGCCTTATGTCAAGTATATGATACTAAACATGAAAGACGTTAAAATATTGACAAGGACTCATCTCGAAAATAACGAATTAGGCCATTTAAAGAGAAAGGTATAAAACTTAAATCAAAGCTAGAGATATAGGTGTATGAACACATTTAGTGCCGTTGAAATTCTTAAGTTATCTAAGGGCTAATTCACTATTAAGACCAATTAATCTAAGACTTCTGAATCAGTCCCATCAGTGAACTTAAAGGAATTTACTTTAGTAAATAGGAGGTCATGAATTATTTGCTTGCTTCATGAATACATGCATACAGGATGTGTTTTTAAGTACCTGCGTGTGATTAAAATGACTTAAATTTCAACAAAAGAATCCAAAACGAAGACCACAATAAGAATGTAAAAAGTTGCCCCTTAATTCATTCACTTCAGTATTGTTATATTTTTCTGGACCTTCGGGATCATTGGTTGAAAATTGAGTACCGTTCAAGCCGGTGCTAGAAGACGCAAGGGTTATTGCACGTTTTCATTATCCCTCGTGTACAGACACGAACAAACCGAATCTGCAATGTTCATGTTTTTTTAATGTGATTAATACTTCCGAGGGTTCAATAATTTTCCAGATTTTTAAATAGTAGAGGCATTTTATACTTAAACTCACAACAGTTTTGGCCGAAAGGAGAACATGGCCTTTTTTCCACCAGTTATATTTAAACACGTTTATTTGTATAATAACATACACTACATCTTACCCCTTATTGTGTTACTTCATAACCCATTCAGCAGGTTTTCTCTATCTTATTAGCGGCCACGTAAACGTTCTCCTTCACTACATACAGTAACCAACAATTTACTAAACAATAATACCGGTAAACGTATAGAAAAATAACGTTCTATTGAATGCACTTTCAATCGAAACTCTGAATAATTTAACAATAGAAGCCGTGTTGTTGGTGTTTCACTACTTTTGTTAAAGTGCTTTGCGTGAAAATCGTTTGTTCCGTTAATGATACATAACTCAGTATTTTATATGATCTACTTTTTTAAAACCATTGATTAAATGAAAGGAACTCCAATTAAGCCCTGGAACAATGTACGTTGCGGTCAAAAACACTTAGGGTCCCAATTCGTTACGTATTATGGGATTCAATTTAAACATATGTGACGCACTTTAGTTATATTATGCTATTTTTTTGCTGTCAAGTTGATGTGAATTAGATATATATTTCAAAAGATTTACTGTTTATGTTGACTTTTCAATTATAAAAATTAAAAATCGCGTTTAGGATAAAGGATGAAAAATGCTTAAAATCTAAAACATTGGTCCTGTCTTTTATCAACTGAGTGTTACCGATACGTTCTGAACTGTGCTACGTAGGTTATTATATGTTTATTTAAAAGTAGAAAAAAATGGCAACATTTAAACTTATTTTGACTTTTTCTTATACTCTCATTTTCACTTTGGTGGACATAATGTCGTTTTAAAGTAATATTTTGTTGTTAATAATAGCGATGATAAACGAAAATATAGGAATCAAGAAGACGAAATGTATTATGTCGGATTATGAAAAAAACACGTTTTTCGTTGAAAATTTATTATAAAATTGACACTCGATATTCCCTTTATTTTCGGCATTAATGGCAATTGTAGGAAATTTTCGTAACAGTTTTCTCAGCAGCTACTTATCACAGCCTATTGATATTTGGTATACAGCATTGACACGCGGTCCTTTACTTTAGGATTCGATTTCTAAAATGGTGTCATTAATTAAAAATTAGTAATTGCGGTAATTGCTAACATATTAATGTATATATATTAATGAATAATTTAAATTTGCTAATGGTAGCAGTTACTTCATGACATAACAGTGATTCCTAACAAACGTAAAAATCAATAGGATACCAAAACTGCAGCTCCCTACAAGATGGCAACGAAATATGAGCCGCGTCACGACAAAACCAACATAATGGGTTTGCGACCAGCATGGATCCAGACCAGTCTGCACATCCGCGCAGTCTGATCGGGATCCATGCTGTTCGCTTACCAACCCTTTTACCAGTCGAGAAACTGATAGCGAACAGCATGGATCCTGATCAGCCTGCGCGGAAGCGCAGGCTGGTCTGGATCCATGCTGGTCGCAAACCCATTATGTTGGTTTTGTCATGACGCGGCTCATTTACTGATTGATTGACCTAGGTCGTTCCATGAAGATGTCAATTTTTTTTAAAACTATATTTTCTTCTTTCATTTTCATGAGTTTAAACATAGCATTTGTGTTTTTCCTTAGCGATGTCATGTGGTCCTAATATTTAAGAAAATGTGAAAGTTGCTTTACACGAAGTCTCAAGCAACTTATCTTTTTATTGTAAGATATAGGATTTGAATAAAATCTTAAATCATTGCGATTCTAAGACCGATTTGTGAAACGCTTTTTTTAGCCTTCCTATTTCATATTTCAAAAACATATAAATACAATCATTCACATTTACATACAACATCTGTAACTTAATAAAAAACATATCCATCTCATTTAATAATACATTGATTCATTAACCAAACATTCTTGTCGTTTAACGATCCTATTTTGCTACCGCTTTTCTTTCCTAAACCGATCTAAATATAGCGATGATTGTGTCCGAACATGACTATTTCATTTTATACTAGATGACCATCTACCGGAAACAAGAACATTCCTTTAACATATACGTGGTAATTAATTGAATATATATGTTGTTTGTTTCCAAAAAACATACTTTGCATACTTTGAATTGATATGCCTTTAATAACAGAAAATATAAAATGGTTTAGTATATTTATTATTATTATTATTGTTATTATTATTATTTTTATTATTATTATTATTATTATTATTATTATTATTATTATTATTATTATTATTATTATTATTATTGAAAGACAAGATGCCAATCCATTGATGTTTTATTTATTGACCTACTTAGGGCACTCCTACTCATGCGATAGTGAATTTTAACAGATCAGTCTGAACTGATATCGGAATTGAACATTAGTCCACAATATAAGGTCTGATCTACTTATTGTAGCCTGGTTCCCTGCGTACATTTACTAGTATATTGTTGTACGTAGTGTAAGGGAAACGAACTCAAGACTAAGTATTTTGTAGCTCTGATGTTGTATATTTACCCTTTAAGCCTGGAGGTACCCAGAGTGATGTGATGTATTTTTGTTTTGTTTTTTTTTTTTGTTGTTTTTTTTTTTTTTGTTTTTTTTTGTTGTTTTTTTGTTTTTTTTTAATTCTTTAGACCTGGAATAGACTGTTCAAAAGCCACATCTTGGCAAGTGTAACACATCCTAAAAAAGAATTTGGCAAGATAAGGGTCAATGTTCGATTACAGTTACACACATTTCTGCTTTTGATATGCCTTTTCTTCTTTTGTAGCTTTATCTATGAAAAAGGCAATGTATCTTTCACTGCTTTGTTGATTTATGTTGTGTTCTTCAACTAACGAGAATATTTTACCTTTTTTGTTTTGAAAAAAAAATAAGTTAACATGCTTAGAGATGTAGCAAGTTTTGTGAATTTCATTTAATTTATTTGAGCTAATTTGCTAATAATATACAGTCTTTCAACAAAATATATCTGAAATTAACACTTTATTAATTTACGAGAATGGCAATAATATTTCTTTCCATCTAAGCCCTGGTTTTAAATTTTGAATTGCTATATTGTGGAAAAATATCATCAGCATTTCTTGTTTAATAATTGATCGCTCATCATTATTTGTCTGTATTGTAAATTCCTATTATTCTACAAATGGAGACTACATGACAAGTAAATAAACCTCTGTAAAACTTTACTATCGATTTCTATTGAATACAATAACAAGCTGTTAAGGTGAAACTCTGAACACATGAAATATTCATAATTCAAAATTATGGAGGATAGCTGCGAAACTTAAACGTTCAATAAAAAAACAATAGAAAGTATTGAAAGTATTGACATTATTTGTTCATTTGAGCACGACTGTAGTAATTTTAATGGTCTCCTAAGATACAAGACCGATTATCAATTATAGTTGTGCGACTATTGTTAGAATATATGATTTTATGAAACATTGGATAAACAAGGCATAACGCACATCATAAATGTTTTAATATGCAAGCGTTCCATGCCTATTTGAACAAGGCTTGCCGATTTTATATATGAACGCGCTATACAAATGATTTATTTATTCCAGGTTTTTAAAACAGAGTCAGACAAAAAGTGCGTAATGGCAGCGAACTGACATTTAAATTTAAGTTTTAGTAAACATGAGTTGATTTAATTCAAAATATCACGGAAAAAAAACAATGTGGAATTTATTGGTAGGTTTATTTCAAATTTTATATATAACGTACAATTCCATTATATGTTTTTTATTCTTTTACAAAATGTTAATTCGGTCCGAATGGTTGTATTTTATTTAAACTTAGTGTTTGGCATTATATTTTGTCCACTAAAATTGCAGTGTTTGCCACCATTGACCAATTCAATTGTGTAAATGCTTACAAATGAACACTAAACTATACTAAATACTCATGTACGGTAATTAAATTGTACAATGATATGTTATTTAAAATTAATAGACTGTCACTTCCTTTCTTTTTTCTTCTTTTTTAAGATACTACGAACGTCCAAAGAAAAAATACTGCAAAATAATTGTTATTATTCTGCAAAATATTATTATTATAAGTAAATATTACTATGATTTATTTGATCCTGATCCTATTTTGTTCTTTGTAAATGCTATCACTTTCCAACTTTTTGTTCAAATCAATTGCGTTTTATGAAATGATAAGCAAACTTTATAATGTTTGTATAAAGGAAAATGTTAAAATGTTATGATTTTATATCAATAGATGGTGGTTAAAATTGTTTTATTATTTTTTGCAGCATTCAAGTTGTTTGCTGCTGATGAGCCTATTTTTCATCACGGGATCTGCGGGTATGTTGGGCTTTATTTTCTAACACAAATGAGCCGCGTCACGACAAAACAGACATAGTGGGTTTGCGACCAGCATGGAACCAGACCAGCCTGCACATCCGCCAGGCTGAACAGGATCCATGCTGTTCGCTTACAAACCCTATTACAAGTACAGAAACTGATAGCGAAAAGCATGGATCCTGATGTACAGGCTGGTCTGGATCCATGCTGGTCGCAAACCCACTATGTTGGTTTTGTCGTGACGCGGCTCAAATTTAATGTGAACAGTTAAACATGCAACAGCTTTTCAGACTCATAAAGGCGACCAGTAGCTCTTCAAAATTTAGAAAACATAGAAAAGGGGAAACATTGATAACAGATCATATTGAATTAGGAATAATAATGAAACATTTTATGTTTGAATATGAATATTGATGCTGTAACAACAGAACTAGATCAATTTAAAGCAAATAAGTTTTAAATTCCACTAATCGAATATAGTTGATTTCAGCAGTTTCAAGTATTTACTTTCATCCAGCCAGATCACCGAATTCCAAAAGTAAAGATAAAATATAAAAAAACAACTTCATATATGATTAGTTTTAGTGAAATCTGATATCAGCCGATGTGGACAGTGTAAGGTTATGAGTTGAATCGACAATAAATTGGTTATGGTATCTTGATCTTGTTTCGAAACTTAAAAACTTGGCGATAATATTTATTATCGATAAAAGCTGCTCGTATCAAGTTAATAACTTCGAGTTAAAGCGGATCACAAAGCGGATCACAAAGCGGGTCACATAAATCTGGAGATCTGCTGAATTCTCCTCCTCGGGAAATGGCCAATTCTACCTGAAAAACTTTCCACGCAAAACTGAGTGCTGTCACCGATATTCGCCGAACGTAGAGACATAACAAAAAAGTAACTTTGTTTCTCATTTGATATCAACATCAATTTGACATTACTTCTGATATAACAGCGTATTTGGGATATGATTTTGAATTACCAATAAATATATATTCAGATTTATGCAAATACCAGGGATAGATAATAACTGCAGTGATCATTAAAGGTTTGATTTAATTTAATTTAACCAAACACTGTATTATCGCCCTGCATAAAATATTATATCGATCTTTTAAAACAAACTGTCAGGCCGATTAAAACGCTCGTTTTATTTGCGCGTGTGTTTGCGCGCAAGTGCATGCGTGCGTGTCCGTGTAAGTGCACGCGCGCGTGGGTGCGTGAGCGCCTGTGTGTGTGTATGACTGATTGGTTAAGGGACAATATGCGAAATGAATAAATAATCTTGCATTGTCGTATGTTCATAAAAGGGCAAATAACGATTGTCTTGAACACAGGACGCCTGTATAGTATTGGGGCAACAATGCATATTCAATGAAAAAAATGCGACTAATGTAACAGTCTGTACACCAAACTATATCGGTAGGATCATTAAAGTTAACTCAATAAATGCACTAACCAGAGTAATTAGAATCCTTTTTTGTATAGAAACATGTGTAAATCTTTTCATAAGAAAATAAGCTTTCACGACGGGAACATCGGCTGATTAAACAGTAACTCTGTATTAATATGCATCATAGGACATGCTTTAATCCTCGGTTCATTCATATTCTATACCCGTAAATAATCCGGCAGCTCTTGATCTGGAATAAAATTGATATTGCCCGGAATGGAACGGCATTACATTAGAAACATGTATCCAAAACACTAGAAATTCAAGTCTGAGAGGTAAACGGATATTGGTTTACGTCAGCTGATTTTAAAAATGATTAGATATTTGTACATGTATTGCCAAATGATTAAACACCATAATGCCACTTTCTAATAAATCTCAGTTATAATGCGACACGCATTCATTTAAGTCCAACAAAAAAAGCACTTAAGAGTTGGCTTATATTGCAGTAAAGCAAATTTGAATTTCTTCCAAAATAGATTTTGTATTAATATAATTGAAATAATTATAATAATTCATAAGATTTTTATAATGATTTCAACTAGGTACAAGCACAAACAATTTCAAATAAGCCGTAACTTAAACTGACTTGACCATGATCAGACATCATTGTACTAGTCACGTGGTTAGAATCAGTTGCCGGTTGTACTAACTAAAGGAAAGTTAATGGTATACAACACTTTGTTTAGATTTGAAACATCAATTTGAACCAGATCCACTTGCCCAAACCTTATAATACTCATCACAAAAGCGTGCGAATTGTCGCAAATTTGAATATGTTGGAGTGTTTCCTTTTCCTTTTTTTTATTTTTTTTTTTTTTTTTTTTTTGCTTATTGTCGTTATTTTCTTTCAGTGAATGTTCCCTTTTGAAATAACAGTGCTCGGCGAAGTCCAAAAATTTCAAATTTCAATTTAAGCAAAAAATGCTGGTCAATATACTATTGAAATGAAATATTAACACGTTTGAAAAAAAAACTATCAGTCAAATTTGAACTCACTCAGGCTCGGAATTTGTTTGCATTTTTTATGAAGTTCTCAAAAGTAGATAATTATCTTTTATCTAAAACCGCACAATTTGCTGGCATAGGTTTAGAAGAAGGAAAAAATCAATAAAATTAGCATCGAATAATTTTCTAGATGTTTTTAACAGAACAGAACAGACATTTGATTAGACTTATACATAAGTATATCATCTTACTACATAAACATCAATGTTTAACTAAACTACTTGATATCCCAAAAGTAAATATTTCTTTTTAGCGAATGTTCCCTTTGAAATTACAGTACTCGGCGAAATCCATTAATTTCAATTTCAATTTAAGTAAAATAAGCTTGTCAATACACTATTGAAATGTAATATTAACACGTTTGAAAAAAAAAACTTCCAGTCAAATTTGAAATCACTCAGGCTCGGAACATGTTCAGGCTCAGGCATATTTTATGACGTTCTCAAATTGTGGCTACGTGGATAGTTATCTTTTGTCTGAAAACGCACAATTTGCTTGCATGGGTTTAGAATAGGGGGAAATCAATAACATTGGCATTGAATAATTTTCTAGTAGTTTTTAACTAAACTAATTGGTATTTCAAATGTAAATAATTGCCCATACATAAACTCTCCTGAAATGGAAACAATTAAACAAAAAAAAAGAAATAAAACGAAATATGAAAAGAAATTTAAATATTTATTTTTTACTTATAAATGAAATATTGAGAAATGTCGATGTAATAAATTGCATATTTTCATTTTCCGTTTTTCATCTGTAAAAATCTATTTTTCAATGCTGTGAAACATACTTTTCTTACTTTCACTGCTGTCGTGCCAGATTTCCTTCTTCTAATTTCAGCCAGTATGCAAAATTACAAGGGAATTCTTTCAAATAATAAGGTAAAAAAAGAGAAAATGTATATGAAACAGAAAATTCAAATAAATAACGAAACTAATGTTTTCATTAAGCACTTTTTAGCTCGACTTTTCTATGAAAAGGGGAGCTATCCTACTCGCCCCGGCGTCGGCGTCGGCGTCGGCGTTGGCGTCACACCTTGGTTAAGTTTTTCGTACCACCCCACTTTATTTCAGAAGTATTACAAGTATGGCTTTGAAACTTACCATACTTGTTCACCATCATAACCTCCATCTACAGACAAGAGTACATAACTCTGTCAAGGTTTTTGACAGAGAATTATGGCCCTTTTTTGACTTAGAAAGTGTATTGAGCTTGGTTAAGTTTTTTGTACCACCTCACTTTATTTCAAAACCATTGGAGGTATTGCTTTGAAACTGACCATACTTGTTTACCATCACGACCTTCATCAACAGACAAGAGGACATAACTCTGTCAAGGTTTTTGACAGAATTATGCCCCTTTTTGACTTAGAAAATACATTGAATATGGGTAAAATCCACTTATTGCCTTAACCCTTTGAGATATTGCTTTGAAACTTTTAATGCTATTTCACATCATTACCCCCATCTGTACGCAGGAGAAGGTAACTCTGTCAAGGATTTGTTTTAAAAATTAAGGCCTTTTATCGACTTAGAATCTTGGTTAAGTTTTTAGTACCAGTCCACTTTTTGACTGAACTGTTTGAGATATTAATTTGAAAGTTGGAATACTTGTTTACAATCATGATTCCCAAACATGTCCAGGAGAAGGTAATTCTGTCAAAGATTTTTATTTGAATTATGGCCCTTAACTGTCAATGTTTTGTATTATAGGCAAGCACTAAAAAACTTTAAAAAATCTAAAAAAAATTCATTCCTATCCACTGAACCTGCAGTGTTCAAGGTATCACAACAATTCAGTAAAATAATTCTTCACTAAATATCTTAATGCTCATGGCCATTGTTCACTTTAAAAATACAGAGATTCTTGTATTGCCTTTTACTGCAAAAACTTTTTTTATTGGCAAGCAATAAAAAAGTCGAGCGCGCTGTCTTACGGACAGCTCTTGTTTCTTATGTGCTACCATCAGACAAAAAGTGCGAAATGAGAATATCAGTTTTCGTTATTTCTGTTCTGAAAATAATGCAAGAAAAAAGTCAAACACCGGCTGTCGGTACAGACGGGAATATCTAGCTCGAGGGTAATTGTTTATTTTTAGCGAAAACTCGACCGAGCCTCGTTACCGCCGTAAACAGTTACCCTCGAGCCAGATATTCCGGTCTGTACCGACAGCCAGTGTAAGATTATTATATTCCAGCACCAGTGTAGACAGTAGATAATCCTGTCTGATATGCAAGAAATTAACGTATATACCTCTTCCGTCAACATAAACTAACTTACCTGCTTATTCGTCCGTTTCTAATTGTCCGTTATATATAGTTCTATGGTTCTTAAACTGCAATAATAAAGTATGAGTTAACCAAAGATGCAGGGAAAATGCAATTAAAATGGTATCAAGTATCTAACGTTTAAAAAAATGTGGAAAACGTAATATTTACTTTGAAATGTGCTTGTCATCAACACGAGCACATTCTTCTCGTAACATAGAAGCTTTTCCTAACAAAAACATGTATTACCTAACTTAAAAGTCGTATGTAGATAGTAACTGCGGATCAAACGAGTTTGACAATGCAGTTTGTCGGCCCGTATTGTTACACAATTAACAATACCCTATTAACAAAAGAAATTAGATTTCACAGATTGCCTTGAATTATGCAGCTACTTCACATCATTTAATTTATTATGTTCTAAAGATTCAATAATAACGTGTAATTGTATCATAATTGTATAAAAAGTTCTCTGACGTTTTGTAAGACACATTAATTAACACCCTACTATAGGTTTAACAATTTTCATTTCCGGTCTCATAACATACTAATTGAATTCCGGGAAAAGATACAATCAGCTTAAAAAGTGAAAAATGAAAAAAAAAGTTTCGTATAATTTCTAAATGTTCACATTTCAAAATTATTGCCTTTACATTGCTATCATAAGAAACCGATCCTTACCTTGACAAATATAATAATATAATAATTTGTTTTGTCAATATAATATTACACTATGTGTAACTATGTGTGATGACAGAAAATCATAGTCTTTATGTATGTACAACCTTTTTTACACGTTCATTTAAAAACTATACTTTGGGCCGTTTTATCAACGCTCTACGACACGTCGGTAGGCTAGGTAATTTTTGTATCGCAGAACACCTTTGTCGCAGAACGTTTTTAAGGGGACTCCCGGCCGTTTTATTTTACGTTTGTCGTAGCCTTCGATTCAACCCCGTCAAGAAAATGGTCGCAGAACTCTACGAACAGGGGTTGGGGGCTGTTGTACGACGTTTCTGTTGACGTCAAGACTGGCGATCACTGTTTCGCATGTTGTATATGCTAAGCCACATTATTTTTTATGAAATAACTTTTTCAGAATTAAAAAAAAACATATTTCCCAATTGTTTTGTTATTTCTTTTAATGTCAAACGGCTTATATAGGGGCTTCATATACATGCGCCTCGTAAGTATAGTAAAGGAAACAGAACATTACAAATCATACCCTATAAAAATGTCTACAAAATAATCGTTTCATTTTGGAGCAAATATGCCCTTACGTCATACTCTAAATTCTATTAATAATGAGTTTCGAAAGATTTTCTTCGCAAAATAGAATAAAAAATAAAAATTACTCACATCTTTTTTATTTCAACATTTTGAAAAATTATAATTTTTTACTAGGATTTTACATAAATTTAGATATTTCTAATTTTTCTATGAAGAAAACCCATATGGTATTAAAAAATAAAGGACACCGGGAAAGTTACCGTGGTCATGACTCCGAAAAAAAAAACAATTTTGAAAAAAAAAAAAAATAGTCAATAGCATAGTTTCAAAAAGTTCAAAAAGACAAGGCGACATTAACTAAAAGTTACCGTGGATGAAAAGCATTAATGTTTAAGTTATCAAATTTAATGGTAAACTGCAATATACAGTATAGATATGATAATTCAGTCTGCACAATTTGTATGGTCTATTAATTATGCATTTTAATTCTTGAAAAGCAATTCTAGAATCTGAACTGTAACTACGTAATTTGCAATCCCTGGGTGAGGAGTTATTTAGTATATATTTCATTTAAATTACAAGTTGGAACAAAACAAAAACAGTGTGTTACGTTTCAATTTAAAAGCAGTGCCGAAAATATGTCAGAACAGCAATTCATTATTTCGATACTTAAGCAATAGTAAATCTATAAGATAAATTATATATATTTATTTCAAACAACGGGAAGGAAAATAACTAGTTAGAAATCTTGTGTGTACTGAATTCCTCGGAAAATGGGTAAAAAATGTGCGCCACACGTTATACTAGAAACATTGGGTGCAATTTATGTATTTTCATATGTACAAATCATTGGTTTTATCATGATAGCTAGTACTCTAAACATTATTTTGGCGTTTCTTAAAAAAGCAGCTACAATTTTTTCTTACGCGCAAAAATCCTTTCATAAAGGTTCATAAAGCCCTAGAAACGCTTTTATCTTTTAAAACTTTTTAGTTATATATACTTTTTTTATTATTTTTATTTCCATTATCATTAACCTGAACTATTGCTTCTGTTAATTTATGCCAATCAAGTACGGTGTTAATGCTTTAGTAATTTTTATGAAAGTCAAAATTTTGCTACAATAACAATTTTAATACTTTCCCATTCACCACTACTTTTTTTAGAAATACAGGCAAAACAAAAATGTAAGTCTGCACAAACTGCATGATATATTAATTATGTATTTCAATTCTTTTTAAGACTTGAAAAAATATAGTATCCGAACTGTATTCACAATGCCGGGAGTAGCGGATTATTTAGAATACTATATGAAATATAATATATATAAATACCTATAAACAATTAATATCATTCCGAAAAAAACACTAACAAACAAATATACGTGACACTTTAAAGTGAAATATTTCATTAAGATAACAAATTGGAACAGAATACAAAACAGCATGTTACGTTTCAATTAAAAAGGTAAAAAAACAAAAAAATCAAAACAAAAATTTATTAATTCGATGCCTTGGCAATGGTATATCTATAATATAAATGTATATTATATTTTGTTTTGTTTCAAACAACGAGAAAGACAAGGGACTAGTTAGTCGCTTGTTCTTATTTTCGAGTGTGTACCGTATTTCTCGGAAAATACTATGAAAATGGCTATATTCGAATGCTTTCGACAATAATAATTCAGGTGAAATTTTATATATATATATATATATATAAAAATTCACCTGAATTATTATTGCTGTTACTCAATTGATTTTAGCGACATAAGGTGCAGAGTACCCGTGACTATAAAAGCTACCCACAGTATATATATATATATATATATATATATATATATATATATATATATATATATATATATATATATATATATATATATATTATATATATATATATATATATATATATTTATATATATATATATTATATATATATATTGAAAGTTTGAAAAAAATGTGCGTGTTTCCTTACGTGGTGTAACTACTTTCAATCCGTATTAACTCCGAGATTATAATAGATAATAGCCGTGACGTTCCTATTTATCGCCACACAATATACTTGAAAAGCCCGGTGCTGTTTAAAAATTAGTTAGCTTTTAATTTACTATTAAAGTACTATAAACATACTTTTTGGCGTTCCTAAAAATGCTTTTGATTTTATAGTTTTCTGTTTTAATTTCCAAAAGTGGCTGATCAGGCGTTTCCTTCTTTCGCGCCTGTTAAGTTTTGGAAATTTAGTTGTGAAAGTTATTTAGTATTTTGTTTAATAGTCAAATACAACTTTGTTGACATTTTTGGTTAATAATTTTACATTCACCGCTTCAAGTCATAAGCGGCTGCATGCTTTAAAATATTTTTTTTAGTTATTTTGACTAAGTATACATTTTAAAGGACATTAAAAAAAAAAATCAAAAATTTATTTCAGGAATTTTTAATAAGCCGCTTTAAAGCAGAAAATTGCGGCTAAACCGAACGTCAAATTTTACACAAAATTGACAATTTTCTTTCCATTTCTCAAACAATTTTTGGCGTAAAACAATAAATTTTATATCTGCTTAAAGGAAAAAATAATTTCCGTCGATTGCTGTAGGATTTAAGATAGTTTGTCCGCCAATGGCGTTGAAATACCCGTAACAGTTGGCAAGGATACACAACGACGTCATGTTCAAAAACGGGCTTTGATGGTCAACTTTGACGTCATGTTTACAACTTTGACAAATTGGCTGAAACTATTGAAATAAAATAAACGAAATCCAATCAGAAATATGGTCAACTATTTGCATGCCAACTTTCAAGGCGCTTCTCGAAAGTTCACAAAGTGTCGCGTTCTACCTTAAGAAAAAGTGATCGTACATTTTTGCCGAAAATCCAATAGAAGTTTATCATGAAACTGTCTAAAGTTCAGACTTTTCATTCAATATACAAGAAACTTATGTGCCACTTTCAAACAAATAAGTCGCTAGGTAAAATATAATTCAACTTATTTGAATCTTTAGTCAATGATATCCATTTTGTGAATTACAAATGGTAATACGCCTTGCGTGACTATCTTTCTATACGGCAATTTGCGTTGTCTTATTTTATAAAAAAAAATATTTTTGAACTGTTATCTTAAATGCATTTCTTACTTTTCTTCAACATGATTTTAGTCATATATTTCGGTCGAAAGAGACTTTATATTAGCTATTTTGGTATACATGCCTGCGTTAACTAACAATTTTGTACTGAGCTGCATGCCATATAACCACGTTGTTACTGCCGGTGTTAAGTTAATCATATTAGATATTCTGTTTTTAACACTGAGTCAAATAGTATAAATATATAACATTATTATACTTTATTACCCATTCATTTTACTGCTTACAGGTCAAAATTCGACGTATGTAGTAGTTTTGCCGGGGCAAGATATACTGAATGGAACAGAAAACTCACAAATCAAGTATGAACTAGTTATGACCACAACTTCCTCTACCCCTGTGGATGTGATTATAACCGGTATGATATTTTCCACTTTATCATCAACATTGCGTATATAAGTATATTATTTGGCAATATGACTGAAGTTATCTACTTATGTTATTTCTTGCATGTAATGCAACGTAAATTAGGAGCTAATTTCAATCGAATTGGAGCAGTTGAAGAGACAAAAAAGAAAAAAAGAACATATGGGAAGAAATAGTTCATGATCACAGTAGATTACACCTGTTGTTAATAGAAGTTTATTGATTCTATCATTTTGAAATATTGTAAAAAGCTTTAACAAAACAACAATAATAATGACCAAAGTGTGTCATTCTGAAAGTTGTATTCTTCGATTCGAGTTTGTCGGTATCTATTACATGAAAACACTGCTTAATTAGCATACATTTCATACTTAAATCGATCGCAAATTATTCACTCTGGCACTTTTTTTACCATAGTTTGGAGCATGTTTAGCTTAATACATGAAATATAAATAATTACAACAGACTCTAAGCGAATTTCATTAACAAAGTCATTGTTTCATATTAACCTGCATTGTAACACCGCACTTTGGGGTCAAACGCACTTTGGGGTCCGACCCCAGAGTGCGTAACGCACTTCGGGGTCCAATTTTGACCCCAAAGTGCGTTAAACAGGTACATATGCATTTTTTAACATCAGGCAAACGACCGCACTTTGGGGTCATAGAAAATTAATGTTCATTATGTTTTAAATAATATATTGTAGTCAAAGCCAATGGTAAACAAAAAATCAAGGTATAAAATAGACAGAAACATGTGCCCTTAATTATAGTAGAATCAATAGGGATTTAAATGGTATTGATTAGTGAGTGAAGAACTTTCACCAAATAAATCACCAAATAAAGAAATTGTATCAATTATTAAGCTTATTTTTTTTTCTCAAATTTTCCTTTTATTTAAAATAATGCACACCTTTCATTTACTCCATTGTTTTTAGCTAAATGCAATATTTTCCCGTTTTATATTTACACATTTTTAAGAAATATGATAGTCTTAGCATAGACAAAGGTATAAATTCTGGGAAATATTTGTATGACATTTCAGTAAAAAATGTGCCTAATAATATGTTGAAAGAGCCATTTATTTAGCTAAATGTGACGTATAAGAAACTTGACTAGGTGTAGATGCGGCTTTAAGTAGTAGTCTGTACAGGCAGTACTTAAAATATCAACTGCTAAAGTAGTCGCACATTAAGAGCGAACTTCAGAATAATGTAAAATTCTCACTTGGGGTTTAAAGGGGATTGTGGGGTATCGATCCCCCGAGGGTTAAAAATAACGTTTTAAAGGCCCATTATGCTTTTATTTGTTTTTCTTAAAAACTTTTTTATTTTGATGTTCTTCTATATTATCCAAAAAATACACATTGGCCAATTACCTGAACCATCTTTTTCATCTGTTGCTTTTTGGCAATGATGAGTACAGTTATAGTGAATTAGTATTTTATATGGAAGTCAAATACTACATAGTTTACATTTTGCTACTTTTATGACAATTTATTTCACATTTATCGCTACTTTATTCACAAGCATCTTACATTTCTCTGATACCATTATTTAAACATTAAATTCATGTTTGTCCTTTCTTAAGAAGTATGTAAGCTTTCCCTTTAAAAAGCCTCTAGAAAACAGTTGTTACGAAGCTTACAAAAAAACTAAATTTTGTTGATATGCTTAATAATGTTTTTGTAAAATCACTTTTTATAGTCCTATCGACAAACTTGATTTTTCACCAGAACATTGCAATAGAGTATTTTTATAGTTCTTTGGAAAGATAATTTTAACTGCATTTTATTTCATTCCAAACATATTTAATATGGGGCTCAATATGGCACCAAAAGTTATCAAGTAAATGACCGACTGAACGGGATATTTTTTGCAGCATCTTTTAATTATAATAATACACAATTTCTGTACTAGAGTATTTTGAACGGTGGCATAAAAGTGACATTTGTATTTTTATTTATACTTTTTTGTTTGTTTTTCGTACATATTTTTTGTTTGTTTGTCGTACATACTTTTTTTTAGTTTTGCATACATATTCTTTTTTAGTTTGCATACATATTTTAATTTAGTTTTTTTGTACATATTTTATTTATGTTTTTTCGTACATATTTTTACATGACGCCATTTGCAAAGTAGAGGTTTGGATAATTACACCATTTGTTAAACACCATTTTCAAACACTTCGCCATCTGTAAATTACAGTACCCCATTTGCAAATACTATTTGCAAATACCAACATTTTTATTTTTGGAGGTATAAAAAAATAACAACACTTTTTAGTATCCGCGGTAACCCAAAGAAAGGTTCTGCATATGGTCTCGATGTGGCTAACATTTGTCACAAGGTGCCTTAAAATCCTTCATGGGGTTTCGGAGATAAGGACCTGTAGGTGTGAACCCGACCTTGAGCCGGCACACCTGGCATATAAGTTCTGCACATTATCTGGATGTCCTGAGGAATTGACCTAAGTTTCATTATTCTCAATTCTCAGGTGGCGGGGTTGAGTGGTGCATATTCATGGAATAATAACTGATCACCAATCAACAGCCCGTTTCAAATAGACACTAATATAACAGTATATAATAATAAAAAACAATAATAATATAAAATACATATAATATAAAAAATGGGCCGAAAAGGGTCGGCCGAAACCAGATTTGCCCGGCCGAAAACGACTGGGCCGATTCCAAAAATGGGCCTAAATGTGACCAAACCACTGTGCTAGTTTTATACTCAACTATTGGCTGTTATAAGATTTGAAGGCTGTTTTGATTGGCTAAAATATGTATGAAAAGCAAAAATAAAATATGTACGAAAAACAAAAATAAAATATGAATGCAAAACTGAAAAAAATATGTATGCAAAACTAAAACAAATTATGTAATACTATACAAAACTAAAAAAAATGCAAATGTCATCTCTTTTATACCACCGTAATTTTGTTATATGAACACAATATTTAGATATTTCAAGTGGTAAAATTAATGAAACTTTTATCACTTAAGCATCATAAAGTATTGACCGCCATCTTCAACTCCACCTCAAATATTCCAATGTCGCAGATAGAAAATAAGGCAGTACTCAGTATTTAAGCAGAACTCAGATGACATTTTTAGACCTCTTGAACCCAAAGTGCGTTGATATGTAGCATATTAACGCACTTTGGGGTCAATTTCTCGATTTTGACCCCAAAGTGCGTTGGACCCCAAAGTGCGGTGCGAAGTTTAACGTACTTTGGGGTCGGACCCCAAAGTGCGTTTGACCCCAAAGTGCGGTGTTACACTGCATCATTCTTTATACTCTTTTCATCATTTTATATATTGTTCAATTCTATTCATTCGCATACAGTTTTTATGATGTGCACTTCAGTCTATGTAAAGGTACATATTTTAGATATACCATGTATCGGTTCTATCAAAGACTTAGATAATAGGAATTCAAAGTAAAGGTTGCCCCTGAAATCACTGTGTTTTTTTGGGGTTTTTTTGTTGTTGTTTTTTTTCTTCTTTTAAAAGATGGATTCCAATATTTAGTAGTGAGAAGTAAGATAACCGCTTAAGTTGGTGATTTGTAGTAACGCTCAAGTTTCAGCCGTTGACCGGTATTAGGAAATTAAAATATTAACACACTTTAGACTTAAACTGCCAGAATTGAAAGCGATCAGCCACTTGTCACCAGTATATAGCCTGGCCATTTTGTTTTATATCTGCGGGTTTTATATTTTGTTTTACGTTAATTTACAGTAATTTTCAAGATCTGATATGTTTTATTATGAAATAAAATAATAATTGAATAGGTGTTGGTGGTCAGATCGGATCGACATTGTCTGTCGCAGATAAAGAGGTTTACATTTTCTCCCACACACATGGTATGAACGGATCACAGTATGCGAACAAGTCAATTATAGTTAGTTCGTCCAACGGTCGTTTTACTCTACAAGTGTTTGTAATAAGAGAAGACTTCAACCATATTGAAGGGTACCTTGGAATTCCAATCGAGTCTTTGACAGGCCCGCATCAACCGCCAGGTCAAACTGTGTACAGTTATGTTGTAGCGACGTTCTGTGACGTTGGTGGCTATTGTCAACTCTCGGTCGCTGCTTTAAACGACAAAACACCAATCTCGATAGTGTTGCCTAGCAACGTTGAAGAAATAGTTTTGTGCAGGTCAAAAAGCTACATTCGCACCAAGAGAGACACGACACTTACTTTAAATAGATTTGACGCTCTCCAGCTTGAGAGTACGTATGACTTAACCGGAACTGTTATTTACAGTTTCATGCCGATTGTTGTGTTTGCTGGCTCCCGGAATGTTACTAATGGAGGCATCGTTGCCCATACAGTGGAGCAACTGGTCCCTACTTCGCATTGGGGATCTGAATATATTGTTACAAATTTAGGCACGAACGGTTATGGTGATATTCTTAAAATAGTAAGCCACTGGAATGACACTAAAGTGAAAATGTCGGGTTACCCATCGTTTGTTATGAAAGATCAGTTTCATACCACTGTGAGACGCCTTGATAAAGGACTTAACAGTCATATTATTGCTTCCCATCCAATCCAAGTAGGTATTGCAAAGTTACAATAAGATGTAATACATAAGTCACAAATATTCATTTAAATGTTCCAAGTTATTTAATTTGTTACAGCATCTGTGTAGAGCTCTTACAAATTGGTGATAGTTTTCTTTAAATTTTTACACGGGATGTTATTTTATATATGTTTGAAATTTCTAATTGTTGTTTTATGGTAAATATTATAGTATTATAAATACCTTTCAGCAACTTGAACACGTTTCAATTTCCACTATTATAAAGCAACTGTTTTATGTGATTTTTCGAAAAGTCTACAGTCTATTATTCATCACACTTTCAATGGCAGTGTAGAAAATTTTTGTCTCAGCTTTGTAAGGGTCATTGGTTTGTAATGGTATTATTTAATAGTCTTCAATAGTATGTAGCACAATGTCTATCACTTTCATAGGTAGTACAGATCACTGGCTTGACATATGCTACTTCAAATGAAACATCATCCCTTAGCATGACAGTTGTACCCTCAGTACGTAATGCTTTTACAGGACAGATCAAGGTCGCATGTCAAAGTGAAAGCACCGTCAAAGGAGCATTCTTCATCACATCAGGTATAAACATTTTAATGCCAAATTATGCTAGTTATCACTTGGGTATTTTTCATTTACTACAGGTGGTAGTAATGCAACGGTAAACAACTCGGAACATTTTATATATCATCAGATATATAATGACTATCTATAAACCTTAATAAAAATATTTATTTATATCCGCTGATCTTTGAAGTATCTTTAATGCTTTATGTGTTATTTCTTCCACATCCACTGATCTTTGAGGACCCCCTATAAGTTTTGCGTGTTTGTTTCCCGACATACACTGCTCTTTGAAACCCCTTTTAAGTTTTATTAATCATTTTATTTTCAGGGAAGCTTTCCAGTGAGACAAGAATCGATAACCAGAATGTAGTAGATAAAACCAAAATCAAATACAGTGACTTCTTGATAAGTACTAAAGAAGCGAATAGTCATCTGTCATTTAAAATAGAGAATACAGACGGTGCCAGTGGCATAATGAAATGTGACGATCAAGCAACCATGCCAACCTCTGTTATCTTCAACGAGGTAAGATAAGCCATTGTACACCAGATATAAACATTTTCTACATATATCACTGAGAGAAAAACTAATTGTATGACCTTTTGGCCTATGATGAATCAAGTTACGGTGTTTCGTTCTGTTTCACTCATAGCTTTAATATTATTAGGTTTAATTTTTACATTTATACTAGTACATTCACGTTTATGTTTTATGCTTTCTTTTTTTCAGAATGTCGACAATACTCAAGTATTTTCTCCAAATTATACTGGAGGCACTTGTTATGGTGAGAACACGTTTTATTATATACTTATAAATGAAATATTGAGAAATATTGACGAAATAAAATGTGTATTTTCAGTGTCCGTATTATCACTGAAAATTTTTATTTTTCACTGCAGTGAAACATATTTTCCGTATTTTCACTGGTGTCTTGCCGGACTACTTTCTTTTAAATTCTGCCAGTACACTAAATCTAAGGGAAAGTCTTTCAAATTTTAATGTCAAAAATGAGAAAAATGTATATAATAAACAGAAAATTCAAGTTTTTTCCATAAATACATGATGTATTTTCATCTTGTGGCATGAAAATTACCATATTTCACTCGTGGCTACCGCCACTCATGAAATATTTATTTTCATACCACTCGATGAAAATAATTCATGTATTTATAGAAAAATCTTGAATATCCTCTTATACTAGTAGAATAAGCACATGTTTCATATGTATCTCATGTCAAAAGTGTGTGAAATCTAGGTCTGTATTAAGTTCTTACTAGTGCATAGAAAAACCCAACACTTCACAAGGGTAATTTACTTTTTTCGCAAGTAATGTAAAATATCCTGAATATAATGAAAGGCAAGCATTCATCAGAAACCATTTAACATTTCCTATGATTTGTCTTTTGCACGGTTGCACGTTTAAATAAATGTAAGTACACATGAAGGAAAACACATTATGCCTCAGAAATGAAAACATTTTTCCATCATTTTAAAGCCAATAGGGCAAACCTGAGTTTTAAAATGTTAAAATAATGGTTTTAGAGTATGTTAGATACTTCGATGTTAGATCACTAAACGAGAGAAACTTGGCCAATGAGTATAACATTTTGGAAACTATTACTGGACACCAAAAATAAAATCTAGGAAATAAAATTAAAAAACATTCGTAGAATATAATGCATAGATTCCTGACCTGTCTAATTCGTTTTATCATAAGATTAGTAGATACAATACGAATTTCACCACAACATATTTATTAACGAAAGAGCATATGTTGATGTTTGTGGTTAAATCTATTGTTATTCCAATGAAAACGCAGAGTAGGGATCTATCAATGGGCCTTTAACTTGACTATATTGTTTGCAAAATGGTGAAACTATTTTTCATATACATGTCATCAAAATGCTCATGGACAAAGGATATTTTAAAACCAGAAAGGCAAGAAAATTTAGTTGCCTCCTTCACAGCAATCTAATCTAGCTCGATTCAAAAACTCACTGTTTCAAATTCCTAACCAAAGATTTCTTAACCCTATTTCTTGCAGAAATTTTGTTAAATACGGTCTACTTTTATAAAGACAGTTCCCGTTGTCGTTCTCTATGTCCAGCTGAAAGTTGTAAAATGCACATACATGTAGTTCTTTTGTTTTAATTCTCTTATAATTTTAAATTATAGAAAAAATATGCTGCAACGGAACACAAAGATTTTTCTCTTAATTGCATTGATGCTTTCACAGTTACAGCCTAATAGTTTATGAAAAATGACAAAATAATGATTCAAATGATGAAAAGATGAATCTGATTCCATAATCTAGGCCACTTTACATGACAAATTTCATCATTTCGTGGCACCATATGTCGCCTTTTTGTCAAAACAATCAATGTTAACATCCAACTTATTGAATTTTGACGCATTGAGGCCATTGTGATTGTACATGTATTCTATATGATGCAGAGGGCGGGAAAGCGAGTACAGTATTCGACTCCTCAATGAGCAGCTCAGCACCCTACACGCTTAGTCTTCTAGATCATCCAGGACATGTTTTACAGATGAGAGTTAAAGTATGTGGCGAGGCTGCATTACAATTCTTCATGAATGACGATGACCTCACGAATTCTGTGTTCCTTACAGTAACACATACTCAGGTGACAATCACCAAATGTTTAGAGAATTGTGGAACAGGTCAGGCGGCAATTATAAGCGATAATAAAGAGTAAGTGTAATGACAAAGTTAGTGATAAGTGTCTATATATTAACAGTAGTAGGAGTCAGACAAAGCTACATCAGGTTAGACTGTCTTGTTTTGCCTGATAGAATATTTCAATTTTATAGCATAATATCTCGTAAAGAAGGCCAAATTCAAAGCAGAATATCCGGTATATTCACTATGCAAACGATGAATGTTAGTATTCATGATAATAATCAGTTCAATGAAAACAAACGCTTTTTCTTTAGCTTTCGGAGTTAAGTCTTCCTCAGTAAAACATGACGTTTATAAAACAACAAATGATAAGTAACACAAACTCAAATGACAATCGCCAAATGTTTAACGGATTCTTTTTTGTTAGTAAAGATGTATGTAATACCAGGGATAGATAAATATATGGTCCCTAATAATACTATATATGCTTAAACACGGTATCTAACACCTCGTAGACTATACTGTAGCATAGATACGATCGTTGTACATAAGCAAATAATCTAAATTTAGTGGAACATAAAGAAGCAAGACTCTATGATAGCTGATATGTGTTTTGCTCTGCGATCCCGTCAAGTGAAAAGTCGAGAATTAACAAGTTAAGATGGCAGGGGCAATGGACGAAACACGTTCATTAGCGGTGACGCGGGGCGAAGTTTAATTGAAAAAAAACTTCGTTCCGCCGGGGCGCGGAACGATTAAAGGAATAAATAGTTGAGGACGCGAAGCTAAAACACGCTTATTAGCATCCTCGCTAATAAGCATGTTTTCGCTCCGCGGCCCTGCCATTTTAACTTGCTATTTCTCGACTTTTTGCTTGGAATTGTAGCAGGGCAAAACACGCTTATTTAAGGGGACATGGGGTGTGGTAAATTTATCGGACCTCGCCCCGCGCCTTCTCTAATTAGTGTGATTTCGCCCCGGGAATCGTGGTTTGATTTCCTTAATCTCGTATTGCGCCCGGCGGGGCAACGTTTTATTTATCAAACTTACAAACTTAATGACCTTGTTTTCGCTCCGTAACCCCGCAATTTTAAATTGTTAATTCTCGACTTTTCATTTGGAGGGTCGCGGGGCAAAAACATACTAATTAGAGGAGCGCGGGGCGAAGTATTATTATTTAGCTTCGCCCCGAGACCCGCTTATAATCGTGATTTCGCTCTACGCTCCGCCATTTTATTTTTTAAAATTCTTGTGAACGCTTCGCGGGGCGACGTTTAACTTATTTAAGGTAGTACACCCTTTATGCACTATCTTCACTTTGAAGTGAATCAAATAGGCTAGAATCACTGAAAAGTGTATTGAAACTGAGGGGCGTGGGTTCAAACCCTAGAAAGGCATTTTTTTCTTTCCTTTTTTTTAAACATTTTTATAAATCTCTCAGATCCCTAATTGAAGAAAAAAAGTGTTTCATTTCAGTTATACCATTATTGTAGGTATCTATTTACTAAATAATGCCAAATTTAATAGCAAATATGATACCAGATATTTTCAAAGTAGAATAAAATAAAAGCTAAAAGGTAAAAGTATTTTATTTTTTGCAAGACATTTAAGACAATTTAAGCAAACTTAGAAAACAGCCCCTCATTTGGAAAATTTTAGGGATATTTTTAATCAGGCTTTTTAAATAGGGAAATGGTCAAATAGGTGTTAAAAGTTGGTGGGGTAGGGTTATATTTTTATATATATTAAAAAACATTTCGTTATAAACAATAATTTTGCTTGTTTAATGTGTTACCTTAATGTCATTAAATGTTTCTTAACAATGAGCAATAGGATAACACTCTTCATAATGATGATATCATAGATTATTTAGAGTTCCTCAAGCCCTTCTAATGGCAAGGTTTTAAATCAGAAAAATGTCCATAACTCCTAAACAACATGGTAAATTTTGTTAAAAGTTTGCAAACATGTGACATTTAAGGCATATTACTGTCCTATGTTGTCAATTTTACAGTTCCTTATAGTGCCCATTAGGGGTGTTCTACCTTAACTTCACACCACGCCCTCGCTGATTGGCGTGCTTTCGCTCCGCGCCCCGTCATTCTCAACTTTTTTGCTTAGCGGGGTCGCGGGGCCAAAACACGAATGACGCAAATCAGTCACCGTAACACTCCTAGTTTTATTACTTTTTGAACAATCCTCGTATATGTACTATAGATTTTCAAAAATAGATCAAACTTTGTTTAAAGGTAAAATAATAATGAGTTGAACTTATTCAGAACAAGTGACCATGTATTTATAATATAAGAGTTTAATACATTATGAGACATAGCCTTAATTTAAAGGACTACGTTGGCACTTCTTAGTTCTTTCACTGAAAACAAAAAAAAAACATCAAGTTCAAATAAACCTATATGTATGTGTGCAATTATTACATACATTATACAAATTCATATAAATTGTCCTGTTGTATTTTACTATTGATGACCTCTCAAGCATCGTTCGATTTCATATTCTCCTCGTTTGATTGTTGCCTTTTGTTAAAACTGCACACATATGTGTGTGGATATTTATTATTCATTCTTAGGGAGGTGTAAATATATTTAACATATTTTGTTTCTTACGATGAATTCTACGGATGTTGGTCGCTTTTATCGTTTTAATTAATTCATGTCGGCAATGTTCGTCTTTTTTCCGTGTCACATACATACAATCAATGCGTCGGGTTGACATGTTTATTTAAAGATCTGTATTTCTACAAACGTACTTATGTTTTTTTTACAAACAGATTCAATTCTGTAGACAGTGCAAATTGGGATTGTAAAACGGACATGGCTTTTTTCTGGTTTACCCAAAAGACTGAGGCTTCGAAAAACTATTTTTGCTTCGGGATTGGCAAATACGACGACACCAAATGCACGGGAATTGAAACAGATAGCTTTTTCGAAGTATCTAGTCCGTTCAAAATGGTTAAATTGATGGGTGTTGCATCCGACGCAGCCTTTAATTGGGGTATGAGGTTAATCTTTTTTCTTTTCCATATTCCAAAATAAATGGATATAAAAATCTTTAGAATCGCCTAATATAAGAATATAAATATTGATTTCTGCTAACTTTAAATATATATGTAATTAAAAAGAGCATCGAAACACGAGGCTATGTGATTTGTACGAGGTGGCCTAGCCCCCAGGTATTAATCAGATTGCCGAGTGTAGTCATTCTATTAAAAAATGTGAATTTCCTAACACAGTTTTAGAAAATTATAAACCTAAATGCATCTTATTTGATACAATTAATTTAAATTATATTATCAAATTCAATTTTATTTATTTATTTTGCGTGTATGATTACATGCTTTATATAAACTTGTCTTTTTTCATTTAAAATTACAGATTTTATTGATAAAGCAGGATGTGATGTTTACGAATCAGGTGAGTGTATTGTCAATGTCAATAAAATGACATTAAAAAAGAACATATCCTCCAAATAAGGGACACAAATGACTGGAAATCATCTGTCAGAAATGTGGATTTTTTGTTAGTTGACTGTATTTTTTTCTTATCAACAGAATACTGTTAGAATTTGTCGTACTTTAGATTGTCAATAATCTAGTCCTCTTATATTGATGTTGCGGAAGTACAATACGACACAAGTTCGTTTGATTGTGGATATAAAAAGCACCTGCTTAATTGAATCTAAAATCTCTAGGTCATTTCTATGAAAGTTTGGCTACCGCATGTTTACGTAAAGGGCAAATTTAACTTTCTGTTGTTGCTCTTTTATTTCCAACATATTTGTCTTGGATTGCCGGATAATGTATCTGCATAAAGAATCAATTTAATATTTAAACACATTAAGAGTACGGCGACAATATTAAAAGGGTATTAATGTTGTCCACGATGTAACAAAGCTTAATATACTATATATCAACCAACGTAAAAAGTGATGGAACATGCCAAAATAAAGCTAGATTGAACAAGACGATTTTTATGACGTACAGTGGTCATATGGTTTGTAAACATTTTTTCTATTCATTTCATATCGTGTAATATTAAACCTTAGATAAATGTCTGTCTTCTTAATTTCTATAAGTGTCAGAGCGTCTTTAATTAAAATAATATTAACAATGAAGTCAGAGGTCCGACAAAAAATATAAGGACCGCTTGAACGAGCATTATTACCATTTTACGGACTGCTATTTAGCAGCGTTCAACCGCGAATCGCAAAATATTAACGTTTACTGCCAACAACAGTTACCAAATTTTATAAGAAATTTTGTTATTTAAACAATATGATTTCCTTCTTCGTTGAGCTTTTACAATCATGTTTGTAGTTGAGTGCATTATGATATAAGAATAAGCACACCGACCTTTAAAACTGCATTGTAGTGTTTAAACTATAATTTAATCTGGATATATATTTTTTGCTATCAGACTGGCGGTGTATGGATAGATGGACAAATTGTTCTGCATATGGTTCTAGCATGTGCTCCGATAGTACACTCACAGATTTCGTTATGTACAATTGTGCAAAGTTTTGTGGAAAATGTAAGTAAAATACCTAAAAATGTTTACTTAAATTCATTAATTTTTAGTATTTTATTTAACTTGTACTTTTTTCAGTATTGTCATGTAGCTCTATTATCATTATTAGTTTGGCTCATCACATTAACCACGGCACTAGAATATGATAAAAACATGTAATGAAAACGATATTACACTAATATTTTTACTATTAGATTTGCAAAAGAGTAGGCTTATAATTATATTTACTGATTCATACGCACCGAAAACATAATAGACAAACATGATCGGCCGTCGGCAATAGTACTGATTACTTTCATACAATGATTAACATTTTATCTCATACTCAGTATCTGCAGGGGTTTTTTTTAAAGGTGAACTTAACAAAACACACACACACACACACACACACACACACACACCAATACACGCACACACACACGCACACACACACACACACACACACACACACACGCACACACACACACAGACACACACACATACATATATACATTGTATTTCTGTTCTTTATTTGGTTCATCACAACCTCTTATGTCTGGTAAACATAACTTTTCTATTATATAGAAAATCAATTAATCAGAAAAAAATGCGCCGTACGTTATCATTGATACTTTGTGTGCCATACTTTATCATTTTCGGAAATTGCCCCGATATTAATATTTTCAGTAGTAATTCTGGACAGAATGGGCATGAATGCTTAGATGACTATTTTATAGTCAGTGGTTTCAGTTAATGTACATATATGTAAACCAAACAGTGAATTTTAAAGAAGAAGCCGTACGTTACCACGATCAAACCGGTGGAAAATTCTCTCGCTTCGAATCTGGTGACGCGCATTTCAGAAGAAGTATCATGAAATAAAATCCTGTGTGCCAGGAAAATTGTGGAGAAGGTTATTATATGTACCTTTACATTAGAACATCACGAATTTCAGAGAAAAAAGGGAAAATACTACTTTTTGGCTGCATCCGCCATCTTGTTTGTTTGGGTAACGAACGACGTGATTCTCCCCCGTGTATAAGAAACACAAACTATGACATCACAAATTTACGAAGTGATTTTAGTTTATGATTATTAACACGGACCAATACATAAATATATATGGAAGTTTAAAGCGTCGAATATATCAATTCAATAAAGAAGCCAATTAAATAAACGAATTGAAACTAAAACTTTTTTATTTGCTTATATTTGCTAAATATGAATGAATATTAAAAGGTTTCAAAATGAGCTGTTTGATAGAATAAATATAATATTATACGATATATAATATTGAAAAATTCGTCCAGGTGACTGCATAATAACTTTTCTAGAGCCACACACTAAGTCACACTTTAAGCAATTCGCTGACATTATTTTTTATTTTTTTAATACGGACGTTACATTCTTAATTGATATCTAAAATGAATGTCATCATTCATAGGCAAACATAAATTCACTTAGAATTAAATTTCGGTAAAAGGATACTACTTAACAAGAATTCCAAGTCGTAAAATGGGACACCTGCCGGAAGTTGATATTGACTTTATTTTATCAATTTATCAAATTGAGTTATGTAAAATATTATTACTTTTATCAAATTGTACTAAGTGTATTTGAAACAATTAATATTTCGTTAATATGATCGTATCTGTCCAACAAGTGTGTATCTGCTAAGAAACTTCGTATGAGAATTGATTAGCATGTTGTCCCGAATGTTCATTTATCATGATTTGATATATAAGAGGAAACCAGCACGAACTGATTCCTGATGAACTTCTTAAATAATTGGAATTGGAACCGTTTACCTGCAAAATGAAGAGCAGACATTCCAATTACGCATTTTTTTTAGTTCTTTCGGCCAGAGTTTTCAAGCAAAACCAGCACTTTTAAAAATACAAGTTTGTGTTATCATATCGCTCTCTGTGCGGGCAGTCTCTTGGCCCTTCGAATTTGCCACTAATATTGCATTTTAAAAAGCTTGTTTGGTTTATGTGAGAAAATAGAACCTTAAACATTTTGTAACAATTTTTGTGGATTTATATCATAAATATGATGCTCAAATTAAGATTTATCAATTTTGTAAGTTCCAAAAGCATTATTTATAAAGATATTACCGAATTTAACATTTCATGTAAATAAATAAAGGTAATAAAAATTAATTTTCTATAAAGTTTTAGTCAAATGTTTTAATAAGAAATGAATGCATATATTTTAAGGATTACGTATAATATGTACAAATATTTGCAGCACATATTTAACATAGTTTTTGATGTTCGAAAATTGTTTTATAAGCATAATTATATCTATATATAATTTCACTCAAGTGTGGTATACAACCTCAATTACAACATACAGAATTTTTAACTAATTGTTAAATTGTTATCATTACCATTCTAATTTTTACGTCATCAGCAGCAGTAGAAGTTGAAGAAGTTACAGTAGCAGTTGTATATCAGTTGTAGTAGCAGTTATAGCAGCATTAGCATCAGCAATTGTAATACCATTAGCGCTAATAAAGATAGATAGAGGTAGTTTTATGTGACCACGATTAATGACGGGAAACGGTTTTTAATTGCCAATTTACCCATGGCTTGATACTATCCGACAATAATTATGTATTAACAACTCTATAATAGAAGCACCGACATGAAATATGTAACATACTTAACTAAAGCCGCATTCCTCCTGATAATGTTTATGTTTTATGAAAATTTTAAAATTTTCTTTAAAGACTAAAATTTTCTGAATTTAGCAAAAAAAGTAATTTACACATTGCAAATGTCACTAACAATCCACGTAGAGTACCAAAACCAAGTCAAAATATGCTAAAAAATGTCCTTACAGCGTTAGTCATGCAGTAGAAATATGGTGATAAATACTGCAAAATCTGACAGCAGCCTCAAATAATATACAAATTATTACTTGAATCTTCAACCTTTTTTTTTTTCATAAAAAATCTTAGTTTATATTTCTCAAATAGTATTTTCCTTGTAAAATAATTGGTGTCATCGCAGCTTTAAACTGGAGAGAAAGAGAGAATATTATACAAATATGAACGGTTTAGCTGGTGAATATGATGTGGTATGTACTGAAAGAAATTTATATTGGCCGAGTTGATTTTATTTTCCAGTACATATCACATCATATTCACCAGCTAAAATGTACATATCGGATTCCGTTTTATTAAATAACTTATAAATCACTTTTATATAGGATGTTCACCATTCAATACGACAGAAATCGAAATGTTTCAGCTTGTCTACTTTTTCGGTTATTTTTGCTCCGACACTTTTCTTTGCACATTGACACGTTTAACTTGAAGTATTCTTTAACATGTAAACACGGTAAAAAATGATGTATATGTAGATGTAAAATACACTAATTTGATTTTTATTTGCGAGCTACCCAACGTTTTCTCAGAAAAATTACAAAAAATTTGGCGTGACGTCACGTCATAGCACGCGTCTTTTTTGTTTAAATTGGTGTTTTCCAGAAAATCGATTTATTCTTAGGGGAAAAGGAAATAGGAAATATACTCAGAAAATATGGTTATTATATGTCTTGAAGAAAAAACAGTGAATATATACTCTGATGTTAACTAGTTATATTTTTACGAAAAATTACAGGTTTCGCCGATAGCTATGGACATAAATTTCTATTCAAAATTCCTACAGTTGGACGGGAAGTTAAAGCTTGTTCAATAATTGTGTCACCACTTAATCAACAAACAAACGTCGCTTTCACTGAACTTGACGAAATTCCTACAGTGCGATCCCAACCAGAATATGTTCGTCTCGGGACGCGAAATGATAACGGAGAAATATATTATGACTGTACAGACCAAAAGCGATTGAAGTATGTTTATGAAATAACGTCTGATGACGATGTTTCCGTTGTCGTTGTAATAAAGGTTGCCGAAGAATTTGTAAGTGCTCGAATATATCCTGTGGACACGTTTGACACTCACTTTATGCCAGTTGAAAATAACAAGGAAAAAAAGAAGTGTTATTTTGTGTCCGAACATGACATCGTAAACCTTAAGGTATATTATTCCATCAACTTAGCTTCTACATCAAATGAATCTCATATTGATGATGCAAAAATTGAGAACAAAAATCCAAAAAGAACTCTTACATCGGAAAGTAAAAACGACCTTACCGGAATTTCAATACTTTTTGATAAGCCATCTGCTGTATTTTGTGCAGATTTGTTTTCAACTAAAACATTAGGTAACCATTTCACTCAGCTAATGCCAACAAACACTTGGTCAACTGAATATACTATTCCTGCATTTGAGGTCGATGTCATCAACCGACCATTTGACGGAAGACTCATAATTGTATCTAATGCCGACAACACAATAGTAAATATATCTGGTGGATTTGATGCTGTTCATGCCATATATAGCAGAGGGGATAAGATTGAGCAGGAAATAGACGTTTCAGTTTCTTATCGAATCAAGGCATCCGAAAATATAGCTGTGGCGTTGTATCTATACGACCCTACAGACGAGAGTAAATCATCATACACCTTGTTACCTCCGACACAAAATTTTCATGACACGATGATTACGTCAGTTCCAAACAAAATTATGAGCAGCCTACATAGCTTTGATGTGACAGAGATTAAAACATTTTATGTTGACGGGAATCTCAATTCCGCCATAACATCAAAGTTTGCAGACGACAATCAACCTTTTTATAGGCAACAGATGCTTGGAAGCGATAGATTTGAGATGACGATTGTAAAATCTGGTACAGAAAAGTGGTTTTCGGTTCCAGGCAACAGTAAAGCTGCATTTTTACAAATGGTAAGTGAATTGTAAACAAAAGAAATACATCCTTTTATTGCTTATGATGTATCCGGGATAAATTTGTTCAACGATATATTAAAAAAACTGCCCTGGTGATAAAACTGGATTTTACCATAAGCTGTTAGAAATATAGCATTACTTTCACCTTCGTCAGTTAACACTTATCAGAAGTTTTCATAATTATGGAAGGGAAATCGGCCAATTCGTTTTTTATACTGTTTGATATTCTAACATGCTTATTCGTGTTCTATTATGATAGTTTGTATGTCAACATGCTTATTACTATGACACCTGCTTCTTGAAGAAGAATATGATGACACATTAATTGGAGCAATATCTTTTATTATTTTTTTATGAGATGCTTTGTAAATGTGCAGTTTATTTCTCGTAACGAAAGTACACAAGAAAATGTATTCATTCAAAGTTGTGTTTATTGCTGATATCAAAATAAACTCTTAAATGATTTATATAAATATAAAGGAAACATTATAATTTTATGGTTACATTTTGCTGGTCCGGTGTTTGTACACTTATCAGCGGCAATATAACTTGCTGCCTTTGTATACCATCTCATCGTGCCTTGCTAGTACTAGGATGCGACAGGGTCTTTCAAATAGAATCTCTGTTCTAGAGACACTGGATGCGACGACATCTTTATTGAAAGCATTTTTGTTCTTAAAATTGCCCATATTCCTGAGTTAGTCACGACAGGTCGTCAAACTGGTACTTAGGACAACATGACCTCACCTGCCGTGTGCATGTTTCGCGAAGAGCCTGTGTCGTGTGTGTTGGGGTTAGGATGGGAAATTAAAGAAGTAATGACGCATATCTACAAGAACTTAAACTTCATGCCATACTGCAGAATAGTTCGCATAAAGATCTGATTTTAAACAAGTCAAAACTGCAAATTATCAAAATGTACCCATGTTCCGAGTTATATAATAAGTGGTATCGTAGAATGTTAGAATTTATTATATTTCATCATCTTCATACGTACAAGCTGCTTTCCCTATGAAATTATATTATAATAACTGCTCTTGGATATGCATCACATTGATAAATTTTGATAATGAATAATATACTAAAAATGAATAATGTCTTAATACAAAATATAATGTATGTTATTACATTAAAATATTCATACCAAAGCTGATAATACTAAGTAAGAAAAAAAAAGTGATTCCAATAAAAATGTCATTTTATTCTTCATTCTTTTAAAAAAGTGTCATTATAAGTGGCTAGTGTCGGCCATTTTGTTGCTTAGAAAACATGCTGCTCATTTGCCTACGCACTGTAAGATTAAATCTTATAATTTGAATAAGAATAATATGAAAATGGTATCAACAAATGAAAGTTTGAGATTCTTATCTTATGCCACATTATTATGCCTTCTTATTTTAAAATAGCACGGGTTAAGCATATATATATGAAATGGGTATTTTTTTTGGGCGGTTTTAGACAATTTCTTGGTTAAGTTTTACTGAATAGTATACCGAAATAGTATGATGTTTTGTTTGTCTAGGATCGAGACGTTTGCAGCATATCAATACAAGAATCTGTAGGTGACGGTATAGACAATGATTGCGATGGACTGAAAGATGAAGACACATGTTTTGGTCCTTATGGCGTCTATAGAGAAGGTAAGTTATCTGGGTAGGGAAAGCGACATAATAAATCAAGACATATGTAGGAAAATATAGTTACGTAGCAGTCTTTTATAAAATAAATACTGAAATAAATAAATAAATAACGTATGCAGAAAAAGCCCGGTCGGTTTGTTATTACTCTAATGAATTGTTTACATACTATTACCTACTAGTGTTTCTTGAAAGTTGTTTTGTTGTATACCGACACTTTTTTCGGTTTGATTCCTTAGTAGTCAACAAGACACAATAATTGAGAAGTTACTATTATAGCAAATTCTGTTTGTCTGAGTTTTTGAGAGTGGTTCAAAAGTATGTACCCTCTTCAGTTTAAGAATATCACTCTTAAGTCTTATAAAAATGAGTAATACTTGTGGCAAGAAACGCCCGGAAAAAAAGCGCAACACTAGGGCATGATTTTTTACATCACAATAACCGGCCATTCGACACTTGCTGTTGTGACACAGGCTATCGAAACATGTTGAGTAAGAGGTAAATACTTGGTTGCTGATCGACATTATGCGATAATGAATCTGTTGTCAAGTCACACATCTATCTCCCATGCAAGACTCTGATTGTTGATGGTTCAAGTATTTGCTTTTTTATCTGATAGTTTTTATAACTCTATCTGGAGATGCAGCCCTAGATGATGACAAATTGTGTAGTTTTCATTGTTTTTTAAATGTCTGCTGTCTTCATATCGGTACTGTAAACCTACTTTTTTGCATATGACATTAATTATTCAGCAGTCATCTTGAACGTAACTGTTAGTTGTCTAAGTAATTTCCACGTGCGTCATTCACTGGCCCATTTAGGAAAAATAATGCCGAGCAGCAAGGCGGCAAAAAAAGAAGCAATTAACACATTATCAATGGCACTTCAAAACAATGTTAATAACCACAAAGTAGTCAAAATATGCATGGATAGCCTTTACTGCGTTAGTAACGCAGTAGAAATATAGTATTAAATACTGAAAATCAGTCAATAATCGCACATAATATGAAATATTACTTGAATCTTGAAAATTGCATCTTAGTACATTTTTCTCAAGTTTGATTTAATTGAAAAAGAATATTAAATATTTTGACTCATCTGGAGGAATGTAGCTTTAATGATCCCGAAGTATTTAGAGAAGAATTTTTATAAGACTTTGTCTTCCATACTAGTCTTACTGTTTTGTAAGACATGTGTTGTAACTGTAACATGTAAATATTATAAAAAGTCATTAATTGTATATAACTGTAAACTAATGGAAAAATATATCTATACTTGAAGGAGATGCTCTTATCTTTAAGTCATGTAATTATAAGTTTAACCATTTTATCATTCCTGTGACGAAACGTAAGTGTTTCGACTCCTTTTTGTTAAATCTATGAAGTTGATAATGCATGATTAAATTGTGCAATTTGTACATACCACATGAAATTATTCTTGTTCGTGATTTATAATATATACAGATGCTTTAATTGGACAAAAATATTTCTTTCACAGATTACGATCTCGATGGAGGATTTGGCGATGACTGTGTTGAAGAATTAAATGGTAAAGGTTTTTAAACTTACTAACAGTAAACGCTGAGAGAAAGCTATTTGTTTGTGAGAACAATGCTCTTTTGCTCTTTCTGAAACTAACTGCCAATGTAAACTTCAAATTTGAGGTGTAGCGTCTGTATCAATGGAAAATTTACTGCAATTAATAGCGATATATTATATCAAATGGTCCCTTTCGAGATCACTAGAGCTTTGAATAGAAACAACCTGATTTATAAATGGATGGTGTGTCAATAACTTTGTCTGCTGCATATTCAGATGCACATCTACAAAGTTTGCTGCACTGATGTCCGGGACTTTTATGAGTCTCACGAGCTTTGAATAGAAGAATTAAATGTTTCAACATATTTTCCCGTTATCATTCTTGTCCCCCGCCTTTTAGAAGAAAAAAAGATATAGAAATAGGTTCCGTCCGTCTGTCCGAATGTCTGCATTACCGAATGGGATAGGTGGCCATCTAACTGTAAACAAACCAGAAGAGAACAATAGAGTTCATTCCGTAACAATAGAATAAGGGGCCTTTAGCCCTCTATTAAACAATAGAAAATAACAAAAGAAATTGCCCTTTATTCCATTCCGGCCGGCCGGACGTCCGAACGTCCGTCCATCACACTTTCGTGTCCGGTCCATAACTTTGTCAGTTATCAAATGATTTTGAAATAACTTGGCACAAATGTTTGTTATGATAAGGCAATGTGTCATGCGCAACAACCAGACCCCTACCTCTAGGTTCAAGGTCGCACTTGCTCATTCAGGGTCAAAATTGCCTATTTGAGGGTATATGTCGTGTCGGTATATAATTTTCTTATCTTTGAAAGGATTTTGTAAATATTTGCCACAATTGTTCACAACGAGACGATGTCATGCGCAACAATCGGTCACCTACCTCCAAGGTCAAGGTCACACTTGGAGGTCAAAGATTAACAAGTCTGTATAGGGTATATTTTGTGTCCGGTTCATAATTTTTTCATCTATCAATGGATTTTGAAAATACTTGGCACAAATAGTCACTATAGTAAGACAATGTGTCATGAGCAACACCTGCATCCCTACCTCCAAGGTCAAGGTCTCACTTAGAGGTCAAAAATTATCATTGTCTGTTGTAGGGTATATATTGTGTCGATCTACAGCTTCTTCATAGTTCAAGGGATTTTAAAATAATTTGGCACAAATAGTCACAATAATAAGGCAATATGTCAAGTACAACACCTGCATCCCTAACTCCAAGGTCAAGGTCACGCTTAGAGGTCAAAGATTTACATAGTCTGTAATAGGGTATATTTTGTGTCCAGTCAATAACTGTTTCATAGATCAAGGGATTTAAAAATACAATGCACAAAAATTCACAATAATAAGACGATATTTCAGGCGCGAAACATGGGTCCCTATCTCCAAGGTCACATTTAAAGGTCAAAGATTAACATAGTCGGTTAACGGGTATGTTTTGTGTCCGAACATCATCTATTACTTCTTTATAGTTTAATGGATTTTGAAAATACAAATTGTTACAATTATAAGACAATATGTCATGCACAACACCTGCACCCTTACTTCCATGGTCAAGGTCACACTTAGAGATCAAATGTTAACATTATAGATTTTTAAATTATGTGTTTCATTTTATTTCTTTAATAAATTTATTGTTGCATTTGCAGATCTAGCATTGATCATAATTTTGGACTAAAAGTTCTGAGATCCATACCAAAATCTTTTGAAATAGCACAATTTTATGCTTCATATAAAACTTCCCCGAGGCGGGGGACGTTGGTAACTCTGTTACAAATTCTTATCTAATTTTATTATTGTTTAGTTAAGTTGTCAAGACGTTCGTGTTAGGATTAAGCAATGTTTAAGCTATTTCTTGTGTTCCTTTAAACGCAATGAACATAATTTCATATTCTTTCTTTCCGAATATAAAGTTGAAGAATGTGTCTGTTTGCTGTTGAATGAACAAAACGTATTCTAATATTTGTGAATACTTAAAACAGTTATTCTATTTTGTATTTTATAGCGAGTTGATCAATTGTCTTTTATTTTCATATGTGCTGAAAGAACCTGTAATAGTTACTGCACCAACAGAACCATTGTGTCTGGAAATCAAAAAACCTAAGGATCAGTGCTGGACCGTATGCACTTGCAGCTGTGCCTGGGTAGAGAAGTACGAGTCTCAGAAAAACCTGACACACGATGAACTTGTTGAAGCCCAGCAGGAAGATATTCAGCAAATACAAAGTGAACTAAAGGTACGTCACTGTTTCTGCCTCATCCGGAACTGCTCACTTTTCATTCATTTTTTTCAGTTTATCTTAGTAACCATCTCAGATACAGAAATGACTGTAGCATATAGACGATTTAGCATTTAAGCAACCGTGTATTGCATTGTTGATTTTGTTGTAATTACATTTAAATTATTTCTATTATGAAAATGTCTTATGAGCAGTGTTGATGAAGGTGTTGATGAGGGATAATAGAGTTATAGAGACAGCATATTCAAATATTTAATACACTTGATACTATATATAGTAACAAAATTGCCTAAAATTTCAACTGATTATGAGTGTCACGTGACCTATTATGAGTTTGCGGCCCGGGGCCGAGAACTAGTTATCAGCCCGCAGAACATGCAGACGTCATATTTTACGTCATCAAACAGTTAACTGTGAAAGTGAAAGTAGGTTGTCAGCACGAATCGCTTTATTTTTATTGTGAGAGCTTAAGCGTATTTAGTACAAACACATATTTGTTACTAATGAAATTTGAAGAAATAATACGACTAATTCATTCCGAAAAAAAAATGAAAAAAAACTTGCTTCTAGATTCTACTGCTTTGAACACACAAACAGTAAACATCTCTGTACAGAACAGTAGAAGAGTACAGTAGACAAGAATTTCAACGAAAAAACTTCAAAGTAGATCCTATTTGTTGTTGTTGTTGTTTTTTGGGGTTTTTTGTGTTTTTTTAAATGCTACCAGATCTATTAGATTTACCAAGTGTATTAAAGACATTAATACACGTCAGAGTAGGGCCAGAAGGTGATAATCGGCCCTGAATGAATAATGGCCCTCGGGCTAAAGCCCTCGGGTCCATTATTCATGTTGCGGGCCGATTATCACCTTCCGGCCCTCTCCTGCCGTGTATTAATCTCTTAATAACCATTTGTCATGTAAAAGACGTGGTTAAGATCGAGACTAATATTTTCGGATTATATAAAATCATTTTTTGTTGATTGCAAATGCAACTTTAAATAAATAGTATTGCTTTTGTAACGGTGCCTTCACCCGTTTGGAATAGTTGAATTTTCAATATATTGCTTTATGAAAAGTAAAGTAGGAGTTTGTTATGCCGACCTGTTTGTGTCACATTATTTCTTCATTTTGGCAGTTTGAGAGATCAATATGACTAACAAACATAGCATTTTTGGTGTTTCCAACTTTAAAATTTGCTTTTCTCCCCGCCACTTAAAACATTTTCGTTCGTTTTCCACACAATCCATACCATCATTTGTATGTAACTGTACAATGATTAACTTGTTGAACGTTATAGATATCTTGGAAACATTAATAAAGAATAAATTCGCTCAAAGTAGATTTAAGATTAAGGAAGACAATTTCACCACAGTTTTTAATACTTTAATACTTGATTTCATGTCCTTTGCTTAACCTACTGACTTTTCAGGTCGACCCAAACGCTTTGCAGACAGCATCGGCGCAGAAAGAGAGCGCTAGCGATGAACGTCAGAGTGCTGCAAACATTGGTTATGTTGGAATTGGTTTGTTTGCTCTAGTCTTTGGTACGATCTTCATCATGGACATATCTTCTCTTGTCAGGGACGCATGCATCCTTTTCTCCAACCTACGTGAAGGATTTCAACGGCTTTCTGATTGCATCAAAGGGAAACTGTGTTAAATTGTCATCCGTTTGGTTTTCACTTTTTTATTTATTTTCTTTTTTCGTATGAATATTCATTCATAAAATAAAAAGGGGAAGCCAAACGAAATAAATTTAAAATGGGCCTTGTCAAACTGCGTATTAGTAATAAAGTTTACATACCACGTTTTTATACGCAAATAGGTAACAAACGATTTTTATCAAATTGTTGGCAAAAAGTAAAAATATGAAAGAATGTAACGCCGAATTCATGGGCTTTAATCCGTTTTTTTATATATTTTTCAAAACATCTTATAGTCTAATCATCAAAAAATCTAGATATATATTCATTGCGGTTTTTGTAGAAAAAAAGTCTATGAAATATATTTCTACAACTTCATGTAAAATTTGATAAAAACGTGCCATATTCATCAGATACATTTATCCATTTCCTGATTGCTTATTTGAAGCAATTTACATATAAAAAACTACTATTTTATATATTACATTTCTTCAATTTGGTCATGGCTTTCACAGGTTTAACATGTATATGATAATGTAAATATTTAAGTAATTTTTCATCAAGAAATAGTCTGACGACAGCATAAAATCCTTATTGGCATCGCTTGGAAAGAGTTTTTGACCAGGTCTGCCGGTCAATTAGCTGATTTAATACACACATGATGTCTAACAATTTTTTTATTCAAATTGGTAGATCCACAAGGAAATTTGTCTTTGTTAGTGATATTGTTGTTGTTATTGTTTGTGTTTGATGTTTTTTACGGCTATGTATCTGTGATAGTAAATGTTAATTTTGTCACTGTAATTTTAACAAAATAAGCATGTATGAAATCCGTTTTATTTAAAATCATTACTAGATAACAGGTAAATAAAATAATGGACCATGTGTCAAATTTCACATATAAAATCATATCACAGACTTTGCTTTGTTTTTTTTTAGAATGATGGTATTTCGAATTAGACTAGATCCTTCTTTCAAGTTAACTTTTTTCTTGTAAATTGGCTTTGTATGCTTGTATATTGATCTTAAAGTAGTCTTAAATATATATTGACCTAACATAATTGCATGTAACACTAAATACGTGCTACTGCGTTGAATAAAAATGGTCTTATTTTATAACAAAGTGGCTTATTTGTAGAAGACCAAAGTTTGACAAAAGTGTGTGTTTAAACATTGATAAAGGCTGAAATATACAATTCATGTAAAATAAAACAAGTAATGAAATTCTGGAGACCTTTATTTGCTTGAAGTTTTTTGCAGATTTAAATTAGACACCATTTGTTTAAAAAAATATTTTACATATTTTATTTCAGTGGAAATGCTATAATTCAATAAACATGGACGAGAATATTAAGTTTATAATTCTATATGTATTGATGGTCAATTGTGAAATGTTTAACAGTTTTATACAAGCAAAACTTGAATAAAATTATAAGCTTTTTACGTCAACTTTCAACTTCTTTGCCTTGCTATAGAAAAATATAATTGTTCTTATTTTCACTGATTAAATATGTAAAATGACATTACAAATGATCTGATGAATTTTTACGTTTGTTAACTATCTGCATATACTGTATATATATGACTTGACACCCGGTTTTTACTTTGATCTTTTATTGCTTTGTTATTAACATAACGAACTTTGTTTAGCTTGCTAGTTTGCAACGATTTCATTGAAGATTATTTTGATGTAAATTTCAATCAAAATTCGTCTATGGTCTGTAATCATCCCTTCTGTGTAATTATTGAATAATTATCATTAAGACAAAACGCCATCTCAGCAAATAAATTTATACTTTGTTAGAAACGATATTCTAGATTATACCTAAAGCAATATTTGAAACAATCAACGTATACATGTAGTAAGTCAAATACCAATACTTCCCCCTGAATCACTTTGTTACGTCTGTCCGTTACGCATTCCCTCGGTTAGTGTCTCCACCATGTCTGCTCTTTTTTAGGACTTTTTTCATAGATGACTCAGATATTCCACAAAAGAAGGAAATATGCAGAAATCATGTCACCCGTGTGCCGTCTCAAGTGAAGTTAAATCTATTGTCAAAGTTTTATGTTTCTGCTCAATAAAACTGAATACACTCATTAGATTTTCTTCATTGCTTGCGCAAGTATTTACTTATTTACTAATGCCTTGAGCAAAATTCATGCTATCATTGTGGCCAATTCAAGGTCAACTTTTTAATGGTAAAATTTCAGACTTTTGTCCATTAAGGGTTTTCTTCAATCATGATTCTACTGTTCAAATAAGTAAGATGGTATGCAGAACCAACACTGCCTCTGTGCCATTTCAAGGGCAATATCACACTTGAAGGTTAAATATTAGACAAATTTCGTATTCGCAATATATGCAATGCCTTTTGAAGGATTTTCTTTAAATTACAAATCCTTAAATTAGCCAGGTGATGACAAGGATCCATGCAGCATCTGTGCAAGGTTGAAGGTCAAAAGTCAGGCCATTCTATGACAGCTCTAAAGATCCTTTATCCATTGGTTTTCTTCCTATCTTGACTCAAATGTTCATCACAACAAGGAGATGTGCAGAACACATGGTGCCTTTTGTGCTACCTCAATATCACTGTCACACATGTATAAATGTCAGATCATTTCGTGTCCGCATAATAAACCCTTTACCACTGAAAAATCTTCTTAAAACTCTGCTTAAATGTTTAACTCGACAAAGTTATGTACGGAATACATGCCCTATTGGGCCATCTTCAGGTCAAAGTAATCTTTGAAGGTCAAATGTCAATTTTGTGTCCGAAGAATCGGTTCAATACTTATTAAGTGATTTTTATTAAACTAATATAAAGTGCTCGGATAAATAGACATACATAAAATATGTGATACGAAGATGGAGGGAATATTTTCCACTCCTGTGAAGCTCTAGATTTTCAATATTTTCATATCGTCATTAAGACATTCAAAACGTTTATCTGCACAATAGTATTTAGATGATATTATTGAAACACGATTCATTATGTGTTTGTGTACATATCATTCTTTGTGATTATTTCTGATTAATGTGTGCTTATTTCTGGTTGCACTGTCATTAAATAAAAAAAATAAAGCATGCTTCTTATTTTTTGTACCCATTCTTGTTGAAAAAGAAATTTTATATAAGGCCATTAATGTCATTGTTCAGGTTGTTAAGATTTTATCCTTAAATCGTTATATACATTAGATCACATAAAGTTAACCAAAAAAGACTTTTAAAAATGTTTCTTTGTTGTTGGTATAATTTAGGCAAGGAAATAAGTTTTCCATATATAATACATGTAAATAACATATAATTTTTCTGCGACTCATAGAAAAGTTAGATAATATAGAAATAGGAATTAACATAGAAACAATTAAGGAGATATAGAAATGGTGTTGACCGACTCACTGATCGTCCCTCTGTCAGACCGTCAGTCAAAACCAAATTGTTTTTGTTGAGCTTAATCTCTTCTAATATCATAATTTAAAAATATCCCACAAATATAAGCGCTTATGTCCATCCGTTTGAGCCATATCTTCGAAAATATTAGTCTAATAATCAATAAAATTAAATGCCATTAAAATCTGTTTAGAGGATTTTGAATTATGGCCCTCAAGTACCTAAAAAAGAATATTGTAAGGAAAATTGCCATAGTGAGCCTTATTTTACAAATTACTTTGTAATGAATCTCCGAAGGAATGTTTATACATATTAAGAAATCACGTTCGTTAAATATTATCACAACCTTGTCACTCCTTAGCTATTGCTATCTTTGTTTCTCCAAAAGGGCACTTTAAAACTATTTTGAGCCAAGTATAACCAGTTGTTTATTAGATAGTAATGAATATAAAAGTTCGGAAATGTTGCCTTTTATTTAATTTTATTTATTTATTTATTTAGTTTAATTTAATTTATATGATTTAATTATTTTAGTCTCAAAATTATTATTATTTATTATAAGAGCTTTTTTATTGAGATATTTCAATATTTTGTAGAGATATTATTACAAATTCACTATCGCTCTTATAATGTGACCAAGATTGCTAAAAAAAACTTTAGTCAATTGATATGCATCTAATAGCAAAGCATATTAATCATTACGTTTGGTTGTTGTATTAAAAACTTTTTTTTCTAAATGGGTGGTTCCAATATTCTTAATCGAATATTGTTGAATCACCTCTAGGATATGCGACCTGCTTTTAAAATTTGTCTGTTGACGTGTTATCTGTGATATGAAAGCTTTCAAAATTCCATTATATTTAGTTCCGCCAATTGCCGTTTTTCATGAAATGGCACTGAAGTGGAGGTTACTTGCATGTTCCAGTACCGCTCATGAACAGGCTCAGTCAAACCGAGTCAGCAACATTTTCAATTTTGTTGTTTTAGACGTGTATTGGAAATTCTGCTGTTTTCTCTTTTATTGCCTCATCAGTGTTATTTGTGTTGTTTGGAGGCCGTAAATGTCGCCACGTACATATAATCAAAGATGTTATATTTTTTATTCTTTAAGATCGTTCAGCACGATATAATTGTTGTGTATGTGTGCGAACGTGCGTGTACGTGTGTGTGCGCGCTGTGTGTGAGTGTATGGTTATGTTTAGTAATTAAAAGAATTGTCATTGAATTAATAACAGTGATGATTAAAAGATTAAAGGTTATGTGTGAAATCGTTTTCAAATTTTTAGCAGGAAGGGTTTCAATATTCAAGGTAAACTTTAAACATTATTTACGTTACTGTTATAGCATGTTCTCCCTTTAAAATGCTTTTAAGAACATTATTTACATTATCTTCTCTTTTACTGGCATCTCTGAAATTTAAGAAATAGAGAAATACAAAATCCCTAAAGAAAGCCCATCACGGCAAACTTAAATTGTAAAATGTTGCAGGCTCGGTTTGATTGAGCCTGTTCATGGACGGTACTGGAAAGTGCAAGTCACCGTCCACGCCCCCTAGCGCCGGCTTAAGCAGAATTCAACATTTAAACACAAAAATGGTGAATTTTGAATTAAGAAACATCCGCAGATGTGTTCATATGGCGGTCATCATGGACCATTCAATGTGACACAGTAGTGTTATTCCATGAAAAGCGGCGTATTGTCCCAAAGTAAAAGAATGCTTGTGCCCTAAACAGAAAACAATGGACGGAAACTAAATAAAATGGAATTTTGAAAGGACATCTGAGGTTATGATGCCTGCATAACACAGACAAGACGACGTCAAAAGACAAATTTAAAAAAACAGGCAACATATCCTATAGTAGATTATACAGTATTCAAGTAGGAATACTGGATCCACCCAAATTGAAAAAAAGGCCAAATACAAGAAACTAAAAATACCATCTTATATATATACCCAACAATAATGTCATGCTGAACGATCTTCAAGGATCGAAAATATAACAACATAGGATAAATGTACGGGGAGACTTTTAGCAGCCACCACATGGCACAAATAACACGGAAGTGACAAGGAAATAGTGAAAACTAGATTCCCTAAAGAAAGCCCAAAACGGCAAAATTGTAAAATGTTGCAGGCGCGGTTTGATTGAACCTGTTCAAGGACGGTACTGGAAGTTGGTGAGTTTAAATAAGTTTCAGCATAAACAATACATGTACTTCGACTTTCAATTTGCGGAAAACCTCTCAATGGGTGCCATTCTAGGTTATAGCTTAGCTCACATGGTGCTTGACAGCCGTTTCTTCTTCCGAACGTTATATTGTTTCTGACCTCCGCTACAAATAGTCCATCAATTGTCGTCAAAAGAACATTGAAATGAACTTGCAAAAAGCATC